GGGGGAGTATTTTATCATTTCAAAGGCAATTGTTGACGATACGCAGTGCTCTAGCACACTCAATGCCACGGGCAGATATTTGTTGGATGAGTTCTCATCCAACAAATACGAATTGCTCATACGAATCTGCCTTCGTATGAACTTCCTGCATAATGATACTCAGGCTGAGAGCGGAAGGTGCAGTCCTACAAGAGGCAGTGTGAAAAGCCTGCTGAATCCCTCCTTTATTGGGTTCCATAGCGTTCAGATGAAGGCACGCTGGGGGGATCGGAAGATCGGATGGCTCTGGGTACCGGAATTCAGACCTCCAGTGATAACTAGACTTGCCCTGGTCACGTCTCCTGACACGTGAGGATGTAGAACATACGTGTGGCTCAGCATGAAATCACGTGGTTTTTGTAGCCGGACCCCAACCACAAGTCACGGCACGTTAGCGGGCGGTCATGCGTGTATAATGGATCCCTATGTACTGAGATAGACGCGTTTCCCTCCGAGCAACTTTATACATCGGACCTCATAAAGCTGCCGAGTGATGAATGTTCAGCAAGAAATCCGAATTCCTAGGAAAGCCGAAATCCGGGAACACTAACTTCGGTATAATACCGAGAGCCGCGGAGGAGGGAAACCCGCTCTGTGCGCACCAAATGCCTCCGCAACCCCAGATATTGCCTTGTAAAAGTAGCGGTGACATCATCACTGTGCTGCGCATAGCCTGTGCAGAGAGCAGAGCTGTGGAAAGGATCCAGCAGGCTCCACCCACTACAGGTTGTCCATAGAAGACTACAGGAAGGGGTGGAGACAAGACCAGTCACCCTGCACAGGGAGAGAGAGAAGCAGTGAGCGGTCTTTATTACAGGAGGGGGCGGAGAAAAGGCCAGTCACCCTGCACAAGGAGAGAGCAGCAGGGAGCAGTCTTTATTACAGAAGGGGGCGGAGACAAGACCTGTCACCAGAGAGCACCGCTGTGGGAGGGACCTTGACGGGTGTAGCTACAAATGATGGGGCTTCACAGCAACATTTGGATGCCCATCACCCGGCTAACTCCCTCTACAGCAGCTGGCAGTGTCAACTCTGACAATATACGTCATTGATCTTAGCACTGAGTATGTCTAAATCAGGATGGGCAACTCCGGCCCTCCAGCTGTGCTTTAACTACAAATGCCAACATGCCTCGGCCTCTGGGAGTCATGTCTTTGGCTGTCAGTCTTGCAATGTCTCATGGGACTTGTAGTTCCACAGCAGCTGGAGGGCCTGAGTTGCCCATCCCTGGTCTAAATGAAGGACGGGTAGTAGAAGAGCCGTCAACCCAGTCGGTACTATACCAAAGCCGGTCCGAATCCGTAAGGGACATGAGGCTACCCGTCCAATCAGCTGCGGCTGGGCTTTTCCTACCCTGCAGCTGCACATAAAGGGGTGCTTGTGCTGACATCATTGACCTTTTATATGGCCAACACGACCATATTAGGTCACTGTCATTGACCAAATATAGCCATGTGGCCATATAAGGTCAATGATGACAGCATCACACCCCTTTGCTTACATGAAGATGTGGGCGTGGAGCCATGATTGAAAGGGGCGGGGCCAGGGACAGTCAGGCTGGGGTGGACAGATTTAGATGATGCTGGATGTTCTCCAGCCAGGAAATGTGGCAGGCTCTATCTGACTTGCTGCGGCTTCTAATGCACATAGTGAGTAGCTTGCAGTGTGCAGTGACATCAGAGGGAGAGGAGAACATCCGAGTCCAGGAGAGGAGGCGGTACAACTGAGGGGGAGGGCGGAGTTTATCTTTAAATGTGTTTCATCTTCTGGTTTCCCCCCCCCACCCCCAGGGAATCACGAGGAGGCTTTCACCCACCTGAAGAAGTCTTTCACCAACAGCGCCATCGATGAATCCGCCAAGGCGCGATACGGCATTCTCCACGTCAAGTGTCGCAATGTCCTCGCCGCGGCTCAGGAACTCTCGACGCTGGCTGGGAAGAACCCCAAAGAACTGGAGAGTCTGGTGAAGTTCCTGGACAAGAGGCAACGACAAAGCCTGTCACAGGTAATAGAGGGCCACACGTAGAGATGGGAAGGCTTAGACAAGGGATGGAAATAATGTGTCTTCCTGTCACGGTGACAACCATGTCCCCCATTTCTTGTATGGGCTTCAATGGGGGGTCACAGAGCCAAGGTGACTACGGGTAGAGCGCTGGTCCCACAGACGTATGCGATGGAGGTGGCTCTCTAGTTATGGGGCCATGGGTCCTCAAAGTCCAAACAGAGAGAGAGAGAGCGCCACAATCGGATAATATGTCCAGCACAGGTTTATCAATCTGGACGAGGATTGGAAATACACCAGTTAACGCGTTTTGGAGGATCCCAGCTCCTGCTTCCTCAGGGAGGAAGATGTGTGCACAGGGTGGGGAGATCTTACGTATAATGTCCTTCGGAGAAGAGTTCTGGAAATTTCCGTACGTCACGCAAGTAGAGAATGTTTTAAAGGGTGAGTCCAGTTTTCCAGCAAATTTGGGAAACTGAAATTAACCCAAGAAATTTGCCCCCTTTGCCACGCCCCCCCCCCCAGTAATCATACTTTTAGGGGGAATTGCTGTTCCCTCCTTCTGCAGCTGGAGAACGTTCCACACACAGCCTTGTATAGGGAATAATGCTCGCAAATGGCGAGCGCTCAGTGGTCAGCATGGTTTTGGTATTTAAAGGTACAGACGCCTGCTACTGTATACAGCATTTACAGGGTGAGAATTCAGCAGCCCCCTCGTCTCTCGCGGTGCCGGTCTCCTTTAACAAGCAGGGCTCTGGTGAAGAGGAAGGACGAGCGCTTGCTTGCGTCAAGGTTCCAGTGGACGTCCATGCACTGTTATTTCTAATGGAGGTATTACATTTACAGTCGCGGTGATTTATGAGGCGCGGTGAGCGCAGTCACACGCTGGAAATGAAACGAGTGTAAACAAAAAATCCGACTTGTAATAAAACACCTTCCCGTATAAATCATGCGTGTTATGGTTCAGTGACTCAATGTGGGTTATCCTTCAGCGTGTCACCGCGTGGCCGGCATGTCCTGTTTATCATATCACGGTCCCGCGCCTCGCCTACAACATGCAGAGCAGTGACATTTGTCTCATGTAGAGGGGAAATAACCAATCACTGGCAGGATCAACAAAAGGGAACAAATGTTACAAGGAGGACCCAATAAAAAAAAAATATATATATACACTATATTACCAAAAGTATTGGGACGCCGGCCACCCCAGTTGCTTCCACTTTGTTATAATACCACTAACAGGTGACCGCTGAATATTTAGTAGCAAGGAAATGTCACGGAACACCTGAATCCAATCATTTGGAGGGATGTCCTAATACTTTTGGTAATATAGTGTATACAGTATATACACTGTATACACTATATGTATATAAAAAGTCAACTCTCTCTCATTATTATATTAGATTCACAAATTAGTTGTAGGGTTATAGTCAAATGAACCCATACATACATACATACATACATACATACATACATACATACATACATATATCTGCATACATATATACATACAGACAGACCTACAGACAGTCAACTCTCTCTCATTATTATATAGATTCACAAATTAGTTATAGGGTTATAGTCAAATGAACCCATACATACATACATACATACATACATACATACATTATATATATATATACAGACACTGAGCATTTAGGATTCCATTACCTCTATTCTATTGCAATGGCAATCTGACTATTTGTGTCATGCAATGCATCCGTAGCATGCATGTGCTGTCGTTTTACATGGCTGTAGACACGTTTTCTGTTGTGAGAGTTTTATGGGCGAAGGACTCATGACTGCTATGTGAGCCGTCATCCATCTCACTTTGTCAGCCCCTCCAGTAACCGCTTGTCACATGGACACACAGAGAAATGTAACCTCTACTCACCACTGAAGTCGGTTTTTGTTGAGTGGACTTTTTCTCACTGCTCGAGAGAGCCTCCGGTTCAGGACAACACATGCAACATTCTTACAGCCAGCTCAGTCCTCTGACCGCAGAATGGCTGCTAGCAGCTTTTTCCAGAGATTATAATTGTCACATACAGTATAATGCCCTAAGGCGCAAGAGAGATCTTTGGGCAAGACGCAAAAGTATCTAATATAAGTCGAAAAAAAAATGTTCCTTACAGTAAGATCCATTGCTCCCACGCCCTCCCTGTTTCCCTGAAGTCCACTTTAAAAGTTAAAGATACGCGTTGTCATCTTTGCGTCTATTACAGTGGCAACACTGGCAGTAGGGTTAAAGATGGACTATCCCTTTTAAAAGCCTTTCTGCCTGTTCCAGCAGCTGTGCATGTCAAGCCATGGCACAGCGGAGTGTGCATCATTACTTCCCAAGCATGTAAGGAGGTCATTAATCTCCAAATGACGTCCGCAGTGCTCGCTAAAGTGCTATCCTGTATCAATCTGTGTAAATGAATTGCGCGCCGCTCGTCAAACACAATTTATTTTGCCATTAAGCTTTGTCTAAAACGCACTTGAAGTTGAATTAACCACCTGAAAACCCCAAACAGGTTTATTGTTGTTGTTTTGCCAGGTGCACGGGCTGGCAAGGGTCCAAAACATCCATTTCTCACACCCAGATGGCATCTTAGATCAGGCTTTCATTAGCTTTAGATCTCCAGGGGCTACAGAAGCTGCAGGAAAGGGGAACAGGGAGCGTTGGCTACAACAGCCATTCCGGCCCTTTCTTTAATCGTCTATGACATGGTAGAAAAAGGACAGCTGGAGTATGATTGGCTGCCATGGGCTAGATTTATAAGTAGAAAGTTAGGTCCTTGGTCTGGTGTCCTGAGTGTGAGGTGTCAGAATGGAGTGGACACCCGGAGTAGAAGGTATAGGGCTTCCCAAGATGAGCAGTGAGACTGAGGGGTGAAAGCTGGTCCATGTCAGCAGAGACCGGGGCTGAGTCTCAGAATCCCTTGGACAGCAAGCCCAGTTCATCAGCAAGGCGACCTAGACCTAAGGCCTAGTGGATGTCCAGATGACCCAGCTCCCTCCTTCATGCTTCTGTAGCAAACCAGCAGGATGGCACAACTGGTCAAAGTTGTGCACCTACCTATCACTTCACCAGTTAGGATAGGCAGTTGGTGTCTGATGGGGAGGTTATTTTGATTATTTTGTTGCGGCAGGCAACGTGGCTGATCCCAGGTTTCTCTGAGCACCCTTCACAGTAATCTGTCCTTCTAGAAAGACGTAAGACTGAAAATTGAGGATTGTGTTTCTCTCATTACGATCATGTATTCATGCCGAAAGTACATTTTGAAACCTGTTATGAAATCTCTCGGATTATTTAGCGTTTGTTCCTGTTCAGAGAACGCGTCGCCATAGAATGTCAGCCTAGTGAAGGGTAAAATTTGTAGCGGGTCCCAGCTGTGAGGATGTGCAGAGAGAGGACAAGCCAATTTCTCATTGGCCGTCACTCTTGGTGAGACATCTGTCAGTGTATTGCCAGCTTGGGAGAGGTTGTTTTTTTAAAAAAACAAGTTCATTCTTCGGTTTGGAAACGTGTCCGTCGCCTGCCAACTTTCTGTTTTCCATGGCTGCATGGAAAGCTTTCGCACTTCAGTATTTATAGCCCCAAGGGTCATGATGTTAATGAGTTACAAAATAGTCGGGAGGGCATTTGGCAGGCAGCAGCGGCAGAGAGCCTGAAACTCTTAGATCTGGGAAGAGGGAGAGTTTGTTCTTCAGGCATAACCTTGCTATGTTGTTGGACAGATTATTGAATTGCTGACAAATGACCATCCTGCACATGTATAGCGTACTTGCCAACATTTTAAAGGCTCAGTCGAGCCAGAACTGAATTCTCATTCACAGGTAGAATCTAGTGTGTTGTATTGCTCTCCTATCCCTTGGGATTCCAGTGACAAGGTATCCCCTCTTACATTCCTGTTCATCCTACCCATCTTGGTTGAAAAAAGTCCATCCAGCTCAATCTATATTATCTAGGCTCTCAGCTGATACTACTAACTGTAGAAGAGAGTTCCATTATTTAATGGTCTGACAGTAAGAAAAATGCTTACGCAGTTTAGGATTAGACCGCTTCTTATCCAACTTCATATTGTCTTCTTCAGAGTCTTTAGCTGAAACTGTTTATTCCCGATATTGCAGTCCTCATTGATAGATTTGTATATTTCTATCATATCCCCTCTGAAAGTGGAACTACAACCAGGGCCGGATTTCCCACAAGGCCAACTGAGGCCCGGCCTTGGGGCAGCAGGAAGTAGAGGGACAGCAGGGGTGTGGAATTCCTATCTCCCGATGCCTGGGACATGCAGTTCCGGGTGATGGGCTGGTAGTTGTTTTCTAATATTTATCTCTGCTTTGGGCAAGCAGGGCTAAATGTAGAGCGGGGGAACCACTGCTTGTTTTGTACAAGTGATCTCGGGATGTCGCCGATATTGTTTATTCGTTTAGTAGAGAATTCAGTATTTCTACGACCCCATAGCTGTATATGTACAGTGTGAGATCCAAGTCAAAGCTGCCTGTGACTGCTAGTCTCACGAGATGTGGAATGAGACTTGGTGATGTCAGCTCGGAGCTGCTCGGTGTTCTCTTTTCTGAATACTATGACATGAGGAAGCAAAACCCTGCCTCTACCAACATGGCGGCCTCAGACACACTGTGCAGAACAAGGCATGGTAAGTCAGTAATGTGGAAAAGACCTTCTGCAGGGAGATCACAAGTAACAGACCTTTGTCCTCTGTCTGCCTTTTTTGGGGACAGCTTCCACAGTTCAGTTGCTCTTTAAGCATGTTTACGCTAGATAGAAATTCAGAACTTAAACGGCAATCAAACATGAAATATGAATGTGCAAGCTCTATTGCTGAAAGCAATTATGGGACATATCTGCTCAAAGTCTCAGAAATGTGTCCTTGGCCTGAACTGTTGTGTCTCAATAGACCTGTTCAGCTGTGAATGAATCATGGTCCTCGTGCCTACTGGGACTTTTGTAACCTTTACACACAATCTCCAGAGCAATGTAAAAAAAACCTTAACTAATCCTTTTCAGACATTCTTTCTTGATACAGCTGCGGCGGATGTGTTGTACTTGCATTACCTTCAACCCTTCAATGTGTAATAGACCCCATTGAAAACATAACCATTTTTTATTATTTTGCTTAGAAGAAAATTATTTCCCCTACTTTCCATAGTCCTGTTGGTTAGGTGTTTCTGAGGATGCAGGATTTTTCTGTAATAAGGTTAAAATGAAACCGTAGTTTCTATTGCTGGGATCTTTTAGCACAGGAAGATTTGGTCTTCGAAGATCAGAAGATACCAAAGCACGAGAAGTGAGCATCCAAGCAAGGGGTTAAATTTACACTAGGGCAGTGTGAGGGTTGGGGTTACAGAGAGGCCTAGTGTTAGGGTGTGGATACAAAAATGTTTATAGGGTTATATTTGAGGTCTACATGGAGGGTTGGAGTTACAGGGAGGGCTAGTGTAAGGGTCTGGATACAAAGAAGGTTATAGGGTTATATTTGAGGACTACATGGAGGGTTGGAGTTACAGGGAGGGCTAGTGTTAGCATCTGGATGCAAAGAAGGTTATATTTGAGGTCTACGTGGAGGGTTGAAGTTACAGGGAGGGCTAGTGTTAGGGTCTGGATATAAAGAAGGTTATAGGGCTATATTTAAGGAATACATGGAGGGTTAGAGTTACAGGGAGAGGTAGTGTTAGGGTCTGGATATAAAGAAGGTTATAGGGTTATATTTGAGGACTACATGAAGGGTTAGAGTTACAGGGAGAGGTAGTGTTAGCGTCTGGATACAAAGAAGGTTATATTTGAGGTCTACATGGAGGGTTCCAGTCACAGGGAGTGCAATTGTTAGGGTCTGAATACAAAGAAGGTTATAGGGTCATATCTGAGGTCTACATGGAGGGTGGGAGTTACAGGGAGGGCTAGTGTTAGGGTCTGGATACAAAGAAAGTTATAGGGTTATATTTGAGGTCTACATGGAGGGTTGGAGTTACGGGGAGGGTTACTGCGTCTACTTCTTAAAAAATATGACTTTTCTCTATATTGACCATCTACTACATAATACAAAAAAAGGCTATTTTCAGTTTTACGGCTGCTCACACATCAGAATGGAAAGAGGTGTGCATGATGCATGTTGCTGCTATAGAGAGCTACATAGACCTCTTTACCTTCATATGTGATTAGAAGGTCAGTTGGAGATTACTAATGTTTCATGAGCCTAGGAGGCTCATAGGTGGGGCTTGAGGCCAACATTTGGGCTTCAAGACTGGACATAATGGAAGCCTTTGAGTGTCAAGCCTAAGGACGTGTGTGCAAAGGACTATTAGTTTCTTTCTAGTTAAGTGTTGTGATCCCATTTGGGATGGTGTGGTACAAGGACATTTATACTTAGGGTTCTGATATCAGCTTCAAATTAAGATAAATATTCTACACAATGGTGGGGCTTTCTGCAGGAGCTGTATATATTTGTGCTCATGTGATATTGTTCTGTCTGTGCCGGAGTTATTCCCTTTTTTGAAGTCTATGGAGCCTGTGTCCACCTAAATCTCTTAATTCTATCATCATCTTGCACTATACTGCCATGTACTAACAAATTGTGGGATAATATAAATTGCAACATTTGTCTACATTAACGCAGCAGCCTTCTTCTACCTCTGCTATTCCCCAGGAAAGTAACAAACACAACCTCAAATGTGCTGGAAAATAAACTATTTTTATATTTTATCTTTTTTTTTCTCAACTCATTAGTATCCTTTTCCCAACTCACAAGTCACGACACTTTTTTCATCTTCCTCTGACAATAAGTTGTCATCTTGTCACATGATTGCACTAATACACTGCAGCCTGTTTTAAAGCTGAACTCTCCAGCTTGTTATCGTGACCCCACTTAAGATCTGACAGCGGGCAGCCCTGTTCTAGTCAGTAAGATGGAATTCTGAGAAATGCATTACAAGACAATCAAGTCATAATGAAACATGCTACTGCTCCTAGCCAGGCAAACAGCGGGGTCATCCTACGTACCAGTCTTCATCCTTACAACATAGACTCCTGGAAAGATTAGAAGGAAGGGAGTCAGGAAAGAAGGAAGGAAGGGAAACGCAGAGGGAAGGAAGGAAAGAGGGAACAGTGGAAGAAGTAAAGATAGAAAGCAAAAAGGGAGTAAAGAAAGAAATAAGGAAGGAAAAGGTGGATGGAGGAAATGAAGGAAAGAGCAAACGGTGGCTAGAGGAAGCAAGGCAGGAATGAAGGAGAAATTGAGTGAGGAAAGAAGGAAAACGTGAAGGAAGGAAGGGAGGGAAAGTAGGGGAAGGGAAGGAAGGAAAGAAAAAAAGTGATGGAGGGAACGAGGGAGAAAGAAAGAAGGCAAGGTAAGCGTGGATAGGGCGAGTGAGAAAGATAGAATGTAAGAGAAGGGTGGAGGGGGCTTGGGAGAAAGATAGAAGGGTGGAAGGAGTGAGGGAGAAAGATAGAAGGGTGGAAGGAGTGAGGGAGAAAGATAGAATGTAAGAGAAGGGTGAAGGGAGTGAGGGAGAAAGATAGAAGGTAAGAGAAGGCTGGAGGGAGTGAGGGAGAAAGATAGAAGGTAATAGAAGGGTGGAGGGAGTGAGGGAGAAAGATAGAAGGGTGGAGGGAGTGAGGGAGAAAGATGGTAGGTAAGAGAAGGGTGGAGGGGGCTAGGGAGAAAGATAGAAGGGTGGAGAGGGTGAGGAAGAAAGATAGGTGAGAGAAGGGTGGATGGGGCAAGGGAGAAAGATAGTAGGTAAGAGATGGGTGGAGGGGGCGAGGGAGAAAGATAGAAGGGTGGAGGGAGTGAGGGAGAAAGATAGAAGGGTGGAGAGGGTGAGGAAGAAAGATAAGTGAGAGAAGGGTGGAGGGGGCGAGGGAGAAAGATAGACAATAAGAGAAGGGTGGAAGGGTGAGGGAGAAAGATGGTAGGTAAGAGAAGGGTGGAGGGGGCGAGGGAGAAAGATAGAAGGTAAGAGAAGGGTGAGGGAGAAAGATGGTAGGTAAGAGAAGGGTGGAGGGGGCAAGGGAGAAAGATAGAAGGTAAGAGAAGGGTGGAAGGGTGAGGGAGAAAGATGGTAGGTAAGAGAAGGGTGGAAGAAGCAAGGAAGAAATAATTAAAGGAAGCAAGGGAATGTTGGAAGTGCAAATAAGGATGGAAGAAAGGATGGAGGAAGGAAATAAGGAAGGGGGGGGAGTGGGAAGCAAAGTATTTAACCGAGAGGATCCGTAAGACAGCTGAGCAGCTAGCAGGTACTGAATTAGGGAAATAAGCCCACCCTTTGTCTACCTGACAGGTTTTGTTTAAAAGTCTTTTATTCACTTAAAAATGTGGCAATTGTCCAGCTCAAAATGTTATTATTTTCTTTTCTTCTTCCAATGCTTGGCTCTGATTGGTTCATACACGGCAGCACAGAAAGCTCTTGTCTAAGACATCCTTCTTATTTATCATTGCAGATTGCTGGACAAGAAGGCAATTCACTTCTCCAGGAGAACCGTCATGAGAAAGCTCTAGAATATTTCTCCCTGGCCGTCATCGCCAGCAACAACAACCCCAAGTACCTCCGTCTCCGAGCCTCGTGCCTCACCCACCTGGGAAATTATAATGGCGCAGTGAGCGACATGGACATGGCCATCCAGCGGCACAGCGCTAACGACCTAAGGACTCAAGTAGAGGACTTCTGTTTTAAGGGCCACGTGCTGCTGCTGGAAGGGGAGGAGGAGGCCTCGTGCCGACAGTATGTGAAGGCCGTGAGCCTGGACAGCACGTTTGCATTGGCTGCCATTAGCGATTCTCCAGGAAGGACGAGGCTGGTGCAGATATTCAGCCATACGGCACATAAATACTTTGAGCAGAAACTGTTTGAAGAGTCCTGGAAGTTCACGGAATGCGGACTGATTATTGATGAAAACAGCCAAGAACTCAGGAAATTAAAGGCCAGGATTAAGCGGGAAGCCTCTGGATGTATCATGCATTGATTAATAGTGTATCTTTTTATTTTTTTTTAAGTCTGGATTGGATGGAAAAGGGAATGGTGAAAACTAGGGATGCACCGATACCGGTTTTTCGGTATCGAGTACGAGTACCAATATTTTTTTTTTTTATTCACCGATACCGAATACCGATACCGGAGGTCCCATTAAGGAAGCCAGGCGGCGTGTAAAGACTCGCCACCCGACTTCCCGATTAGCAGGGAAGCCGTCCCCCATGCTTCTAGTCACTGGGTGACGAAGGAGCATGAAGCCAGCTTCCCAGCCAATCAGAAAGCCAGGCGCTGCGTCATTACACGGCGCCCGGCTTCCTGATTGGCCTGCTTACCCGACCAATCAGGAAGCTGGGCAGCGAGTCATAACACGCTGCCTGGCTGGCTTCCTGATTGGCCGGGAAACTGGCTTCATGCTCCTTCGTCATGGAGCCTGCTTCCCGACCAATCAGGAAGCCGGGCAGCGTGTAATGACTCGCTGCCCGGCTTCCTGATACTGGAAGCATTGGGCTAGGCATTGAAGCATTTGAGCGAGTATGAGCCCAAATACTCGGCATCAGCACTGATACTAGTACTGGTATTGGTGCATCCCTAGTGAAAACCCATATCAATCCTTTTATGTGTTCCTGCTGGAGACACAACAGGTACCAAGTGGAAGCCTCTTCTAAGTGAAAGGAAAGCCAATCTTAGATGTCATCAGAAAAGTTGTCCCCATTGGAAGATTCCATCTTGGTTCCTGTTCTGATGTAAAATGTTGAATTTCCCATCACTTCCTGTCAACAGGACCAATAGAAGGGTTAATCCTCCCCCCGGGGGACACAGACAACAATCAAAACCCTGACGGAAAGCCAATATAAATATTCTTTCATTTCCCATTTGGTTGGAACTTTAATACTTTTGGTTCAGTCTATTGCTGGTTGTAATCTTATTTATATTAAAAAAAGAATCATACCTTAGGGTTAGGGTGTGAGACAACTTTTTTTTTTTCCCCCCAATGTGTTGTTGTCATATGTGGGAATGTATTATTTTACAACACACAATAATTCACAATGGAAACCAAAGACTTGGGGGCCAACTTATAAATCTTCTGCCTAGCCTGGTGCGTAGACTGGACAAGTGCAGTTTGCACAGGATTTCCACCACTAGATGCAGGGGCGTATCTGCCGCGAGGCAAACAAGGCGTTTGCCTGAAGATGGAGCTGAGGAGCATTACCCATGCTAGTGGTGGAAATGGTGTCTGAACGGCATTCGCCCAGCGTATAGCTGTGCAAAAGATTTACAAATCAGCCCCTTGATCTCCTTCTGACCTGTTAGAAAGAGTTTCCATTCACCATTCCTTTCCATGACCATTAAAAGAGTTTTGTTCTATCGCTTCCATAAGTGCAAAAAAAATCCTTCGAGACATCTTGAGAGCTGATAACACAGCAGAGAGCACAGGAAGTTATCTCAAGCATGCAATGTTTCAGAATACCCACTGAGGATATATTCCTGTTTGGGATCAGATTTTTTGATGTGTCTCTGTATGTTCCCTCCTCACATGAGATTTTACTACTATGTCCCTCGTACTTTGTGTATTTGATCAATTCAATTTCAGCGTCCGTTTTACTCCGGCCATATGCTACGTTCCCCTTCTGAGAACAATTTCATGCCATCCGTGGCTTATCCCCAGAAACCTGCCGCCGTAAAATCGAGGAAATGTCTTTTTATTGATAGAAGCATCATTGAAATGTCCAATTCCCAGTGCTGCCTGCCAGCGCTTTCATCTCCATTCTTGGTAACCAGTCAGACTCCCACTTCTCCTCTTTGAACTCATTAGCATAAATTGTGCGGAAAATGAAGTGCTGAACACACAGTTAAAGTTTAATCAGCTTATATTTGGCCTTCCCTGATTCCTCCCCCATAGCATCAAAATGCTAAAGACACTTTGAAATAAATCCTTTCATTTTTCAATATAGAGCTTATTTTAGACCAAGTTATGTCATCACTGGAGCTCTGTACTTCTCTGTGCAATGCAAGCAGATTATGGTGGGTGGGAGGAGCAAAGAGGGTGCTGTAATGCTTGCAGAAAGCCATGTACAGCACCCTGCCGGCCCCTCCTGCCTGCTATGATCTGCCTGCATTGCATAGAGAAGCACACAAACCCAATGAGGACATCATTGGGTCTAAAATAGAGGAATGGCAGGGTGCTGTACATAGCTTCATGAAGACATCACAGCACCCTGCCTCAGTACTCCTCCTCAGAGTCCTCAGCCCTAAAGCAAGCAGTGGGTTGACTTGTGGGAGGAGTTATGCAAATATCAAAATGCCTTGATATCAGTGCGGAGGAAGTGACATTCCTAGGCAGGCTGTATTTGCATGCAGATCACCCTAGGTAATGCCCACGTGTGATGACAAGCCTCCATGAGTGAAAGAACTAAAATCCAATGAATGAAAGGGGTGGGCTAGGGACAGTAAAGCTGGTGGGTTGGCTCATGGGAGGAGTTATGCAAATATCAAAACGCCTTAAAGGGTGGATATCAGTGTGGAGGAGAGGGTGTTCCTAGGTAGGCTAAGTTTGCATGCAGAACACCCGAGGTAACACCCTCATGTGATGCTGAGCTTTCATCACTCAAAGAACTCAAATCCAAGGAATGAAAGGGGGTCAGGATGGGAAGTGCTAGATTATGATGGACGTCCTCCAGCCATGAAATGAGGCGGGCTCTATCTGACTTGCTGAAACTTCTAATGCACATTGTGAGGAGCTCGCTGTGTGCAGTGAAATCAGAGTCCAGGAGAGGAGCCGGTACAACTGTGCAAGTCTGAAGGGAAGGCTGCAGTTCATCTTTAGGATGAGCATAATGTATAAGATGCAACAAGATAATGTTCGCTGTATCCGGGGAAGTACTTGAAACCACATTTTGCTGTTGTAATAACGACACTGACGCCAGATAACCTGCGAGGAAACATTGACGCGGCTGATTAGCATTCGGCAATGTCGGGTCTGCCTGAACTGCACCGTCTATCAATACAAGGTCATTTTTAATAAACCTTAATAGGGGGAACGGTCGGCTGTATTAGCTACGGGGCCAAGCGTGGCACTGAGCCTGCGTGGCGTCGATCAAACCCGCGGTGTGCGCAATCTGGAACCTCAAAGCTAATATCGAGCAATCACCTTTGGAAGAAAGTGAGAGGTTTGACATCGCCGGCTAAGTCATGAGTCATGAAATCCGTCTTTGAAGTCTCTTTATTCACCTCTGGACTGTGACAGAGAAATGATTAGGACATTCAATGCTATTAAAAATATAATAAAAGTGTAGCGCTCACCCCCGAAGGAGCCGCTGGATGAACAGGTCCATATCTAGTCAGTCTAGGGATAGATTTCCAACTGCCCCATTAGCATTAACCGCCCTCTTCCTGTGCCCATAAATTGAAGTCCGCTCCAGTCGTGAGATGCTGGTTAAACAGTTTATTCACTTCTAATTAGGGAGAGAGGGTATAGGGTCTAGGTGCACCGGCCTCCATAGCTCCAGACTCACCAGATCTTATCTTCGTGAAGTACATCTCCACAATCCTTGGAAGAACACTGACCCCACTCAGAAGTCCCTCTGAATACCAGGCACTTCAAAAGCCCACACGGGTCCTGGTTCTTCCATTCTTACAGGAATTCTGCTGACTGCAAACTCTCAAGGAGGCTTCTCCTTCAGCAGCTCAGCCAACTCCCACCCCCAGGCCTTGGCCTAGCCTAGGGGCAGGCTGAACAGGACCCAACCTCAGTCCATGGCTGGTCCAGGCAAGAGAGCGAGCACGTGGCCTCCCACCAATATATATATCCTTTGTCAGCAGACATCACTGGCTACAAAAAGCCCAGTAACTGGCTGCTGCCCTGTACACATATCACAGTGTCACCCATTGGCTGTCCCATAATGTGACAGAGTCTCACTCCGCCCTAGGGGGTACAGACAAGGTTGGACACCTGGGATTAACCATGTGCTGGCTGCTACAAAATTCAACCAGGCTGCCTACAGCCCTGGCTATCACTAAATAGATAGTAAGCACTTCACCAAAGGTAATGGGCGCTACACTAGGATTAAAAAGGACTGGCTTTGTTTCATCTACAATAGGAAGCAGAAGAGCCCATATAATGAATGGGGGGGAGGGGCGGTGGCTCCCCAGCCTGACTGTCCTTGGCCCGTCCCTTTCATATATTGATTTTCAGTTCTTACAGTCATGGAGGCTCAGCATGAGATGTGGGTGTTAACTAGGATGGTCTGCATGCAAATTTAGCCTACCTAGGAACACCCACTCCTCCAGACAGACACCCACCCATCAAGGCATTTTGATATTTGCATAACTCTTCCCAAGAGCCAACCTACTGCTTGTATCAGTGCTGAGGGCTCTGTTGAGGAGCACTGAGGAAGGGTGCAGTGATGTTTGGGGATGCATTACTCCAGAGCACCTGCAGCTACAGAGGTCAGTGATGGCTTATTTTCAAAGCTCCTCTCTGGGATCTGGGCCCGAAGCTTTATAGCTCTCTCTGTGCATTTGCACCAAAATCAGAAGGAAATAGGAAGTCAACAGAGGGTCTGTTGACTTGCAGTCATGCCTTCCGATTTACTTATGATCCGTTGCCATATGTTATTCAGCAGATGGCGGAAGTGCACCGAAAAATGAATAGGTGTGAATGTGGCTAGTTCCCACTGGATCCGTTGCGTTACATTGCACTAAAAAAAAGGAGTGCATGTTCTACTTTTTTTTTTTTAGTGCATTGCAATGGAACGAAGCGATGTGAACCAGCCCCATTCACACCCATTCATTTTTCTGAGCCTTTCTGTCAGCATCCATTGAATAACATATCACAACGCAATAGATCGCAACACAATGGATCCCAACGCAATGGATCCAGTGTGAATTGACCCTTAAACTACTGGTTAGGTTTTTTTGTATATCTGTATCTTTAAAAGAAAATCGGAAGGCATGACTGCAAGTCAACAGACCCTCTGTGTTATCAATGTGTTAACT